GATCACAGAATACAAAGACCTGCAAACAGAAATAGAATGACAGTGGCAAAAGAAAGCAAAGATAGCGCCTATAGTAATAGGCGCCTTAAATGCAATCCTAGAACATCTGAAGCACCACTTGAAGACCACTGGCATTGACAAAATCACCATCAGTCAATTGTAAAAGGAGCTTTACTTGGAACAGCTTATATCCTGCAACGATACCTTTAACACCATCAAACAACATCTGCCCATCCCAGCTCTTTGGGAAGGACTGGATAGGTGGGTAAAAATGCCAAATCCAGTCTAAACATCTGGCTGACTGTGTGACCAACAATAATTTAGCAATCTTGTGAGATTTCAGCTATGTGTCTGTGTGCACATGCATGTGGGCGGGTGCATGTGTGTATATAGCAGTATCCTTAGGGTGGGAGTGAAAAAGTCAAGATGCAGTTGCAACTATATGATCAAAGCACATGAACTGATGTCAGATGCACATACAAAGAGGTAGGGCTGCAATCACATGGTTGCAACTACCACCCTTTTTGGAAAAAAACCCACCCTGTGTGTATACTAAAAAATGGAGTTTCTGTAGGAACCATTTAGGAGAGCTGAGACACAGCACTGCCAAAACCTGCACATGTTCTATACTGTTTGGATTACTGTTCCATGTACAAATCAGCATTTTCTAAAGCCCTATTCTTTGGCATAAACTCCCAACATCTTACAAATACTTTCTCAAACTCAGTACCCAGAGAAGATGGGAGGAGGAAATCAATGAAAAAGAGGCCCAGAATGAATAGCAAGTAAAATATCAATGATTCTTTTAGTTTCCTCTTTTAAAAAGCCTGGTGATTTTTGAATGTCCCAATATTAACCCAGAATTACAAAGTTCTTTATGAAATATATTCAAAGTTTATTATGTTTTTCATTCTTCTTTTCTCTGGATTAGTATAACACTCATTTTAATTAATATGTCTTTCTTTTCATCAACATCTATTTGAGAGGGGTGTGTGTGTGTGTGTGTGTGTGTGTATGTGTGTCAGTTGTACTGGCCTAATGAGCAGTAACTGTAATCAACTTTTGCTGATTTTAAAAGCAACGTACTTGGAATGAAAGCGTCAGGTTAAAAGCGCCAAGTCAAGTTCTTTGTTTACCAACAGCACACACAGTATGATTAGCTAGAGGACAGCATTCCTCCTCCTTACCACCCCATTAATAAGGGGAAAAGCTCACTGGAAGGTACAGAAGAAAATCAGGTAATTATACTCTGCCTGGTGTCACAAGGAAAGTTCAGAAATTAAAGTCACCATAGCAAGATGATGAAATATATTTTATACAGATCTGCATGCGGCTGTCAGATTATAACTGCCTTAGGTTACTTCTCATGTGCTGAATTCAGATCAAGAGATTAAGCTGGAAATTTTCATCAGATGAGTCTCCACAGACTTTTTGATCTATTCGCTTCAGAGCCTCAGAAGCAGAAGTATTCTTTCGTTTATTAGTAATATATAGCCATTCTGTCAACCTTTTCCTTCTTTTTTTCTTTTAGCTTCAAATTTACACCCATGAAAGTCAGCTAGCTCATAAAGCTGTATGCATATTTTATCTATCTATCTATCTATCTATCTATCTATCTATCTATCTATCTATCTATCTATCTATCTATCTATCTATCTATCTTATTTATATAGCTCACAATTATATACCTTGACTCTGGATGGCTTACATTTAGATACTCCTAGTCAGATTATATGTTTCAATGAATTCCTAAGTGAAAAGAAGCTGATACAACCTGTACATGGTACAAAACTAAACACAAAGTATTTCTGCAAATTTAAATACATACTATTTAGGTGCAGTTGTTTACAGATTCAGAATTAGAAAACAGTAAACATGACAGGTGCAGAAGTTTGGACATCTTCATAGTAACACCCCCTTTGTCAGAAATAACTATTTCCTAACATTTCCTGTGGCCAGCTAAGAGTCTTTCTGTTCTTGGTTCTGGATTTTTTTTCCCATTTGCAGAACTTTTCTAACACAAAAATATTCTTAGGCCTCCCTGCATGTTTGAGATCTCCCCACAGACTTTCAGTAATATTCAAGTCTAGGGATTATGAAGGCCATTCCAAAGTGTTTACTTTTCTTTTCTGTAAGCACTTCATTGTTAATTTGAAGGTATGTTTCATATTGGTATCTTGCTGAAAAGCAATTTGGCCAGAGATGGCTAATTTTTTTTTTTTTTTTTTGGCATACAGGTGTAATGCCAAAAGCTTCTAAGATTTTAGAAACTTCCTAACAAAGCAGTTCAAGGGAGTAATCAGGTGGAGTTTCCTTCCATGTATATCTTCAAGAAAAAGCTGGAGGGCCATCTGTAAAGATCCATCAATCTGGCTTCTTTCACGAATTGGGAGTTGGACTCAGTGGTCTAAATCAGGGTTCCTCAACCTTGGCAACTTTAAGATGGATGGACTTCAACTCCCAGAATTCCCCAGCCAGCCAGGCTGGCTGAGGAATTCTGGGAGTTGAAGTCCACCCATCTTAAAGTTGCTGAGGTTGAGGAATCCTAGTCTAAATGGCCCTTTCAACTCAATGATTCTTGGACAGCAGTATAACTTCACCCTACTGTTCACACTGTAGTCAGCATGTATGCAATTTCTAGTGTTCTCCTCAACTAGATCATTCTGGCTATTTCTTTGTAACTCATCAGCCGTTTAGTTGCTCAGTCCAAAAACTTGCTCTGTCTATCACTGCAGGAGAGCACAGGATTCTGCCAGTTGTATGAACAGGAAAAGATCTACCCAGCATGCCTTTTTGCATCTCAGGACATCCTGATGGGGATAATTTTCCAAGCCATAATTGCTACTCACAAGGTACATGGTAAACAGAACAATACAATATTTGCTGCAATTAGAATATGAGCATGAGGCACTTATGAAGCAGAGAAAGGGAGACACAAAAACTGAAAAGAAAACCATGTGGATTTAGCATCCAAGATAATTTTCTGATTGCCTTTCCACACCTTCTCTCTTTGCCAGGCCCATGTGCGGCTCCTAACATGTTGCACAGGGCTCAAAAGTAACCTTCAACCTCAAATGGTTATGCATCCATATTTAAACAAAATTTACTGTAGACAACAGCACTTCTGTTAAAATCAAAAGCAGATACTTTTGAGCTCCTTCTCATAGCAACAAAACAGAAAGGGGAGAACCACATGCAGAATAGGAAACAATTTTCTGTTATACCTCATCTAGATTTCTGAGAAGCAAATTTCCCAATGTGTAGCATCTGTTCTTGGGCTCTCACCTTAATCAGTGCCTCCAACTCCTGCTGGGATACACAGTTGTTTTCCTGGAGGAATTCTGCTTTATCATTGGCTATTCTGGTTTTCTGGCTGCTTTCTTCTGGCTGTTCCAAAGCGCGAAACACAAGACCCCCTGTGACCAGGTAGGCCACCACCACAAAGAAGATGGCTACCACTGTTTTCCACTTCATGACCGTCTGCAAACCCTGTGAGGGGGTTTCCATGCTGGCAATCACAGTTGTCCGAGGAGAGGAAATAGAGAGTCGTGGTGCCGGCTGGGGTATATTAGTCTTATTGGTCTCAGGCTCACAGCCTGAGGGAACAGCTGCCGGCACAATCACTGAAACAGAAAACAAAACTGCTATGTTAAATCTGTGTATGGTATCCTGGCTTTTCCTTTTAGACATATAGGAAGCTGTTTTACACCAAATCACAGTGCTGGTTGATTGCCAACACTGGCTGGCAGCACTATCCAAATCTGGAGAAGTTTTCTAGCCTAACTAAAGATTGAACATGCTACTTCTACATATAAATAATCATCAAGTTACAGCCATTTTATATTTTCAGAGTTATTGCTAATGATAATCGTTTTTCCACAGTTCATGGGAAATACTTCATTTTAATTCCTACACAATAAGGAGCAGACTGGGTGGCCTCGGTACCTCGGTACCTCCATAATAAATCCTTGGTGATGATAATGCATATAGTCTAGCATTAGACAGCTAATTAACATTTTCTGGGGAAAGAGTAACTGGATGCAATTTTTTAAATGGGGAACTGGACCAGAGAATATACAGCCGCACACACATACTGTTTCTCTGATTGAAATTCTACCTCCTGGGAAGTAGCAATTAGTTGCGTAGGATGGGGAATGACCATGGCTCAAACTGTTTTTCCCCACAAATTAAGAGAAGATTTTCTAATTAATCATTGGCTGAAAAATGATGCAAAGTGCCAAGGAAGCCATGTGGTTTCTATCATAGACTTGGAATAAATGTCCTAGATCTGAAGCCAACATTCTTAGAGCTGCTCTTCTTCTGCCCTTAAGAGCTACCATAGTACAATAGTTGCAAGAGTGAGCTATGAATAAGCAAAAATATTTGCAAGCAGCTGCCTTCTCAACTTCAGCCTGCTCCCAAGTGAAAATATAGGAGCACTGGTGTTTTAAGCACTCTGCAAAAGAATCTGTGTAAATACTAGTATTAGTACTGAAGGGCATTATTTTGATACACAATTTTATATTCTATATATACACAATTTTATATT